TCCTTTCTTTCTTGTTATCGTCGATCTCAGGCCAGTGTTACATCGTTTGGTGCTGGAAAAAAATGATGTTTAAGAGACGTATGCGACTCTAATCCCTACTCTCTGATCGAACGTGATTCTCCAGTCTGATGTTCGTAAGTGCTTTCTTGTGTTACCTAATATGTTGTGATGGCTGGTGTAAGAGGTGCCAAGGACGTCGATTGAAGAGGACGGCGTAACCCCTTATTTGTATGACCGCCTGGTGTCTGGTGATGACCTTGGTATTCGTCTTGCCCTTCGTTGCCGCCGAGAACACATGCACTCAGCCCAACGTGATGCCTTCCTCCACATAGTAGGAAGTCGCTTGTCGCTACAAACGGATTGGAGTCGTGCATTCCAATCACTGAGTTCTGTGACTCATGCTATACCAAATTGCAAGCAACTACCGCAGCCCCTCAATTTCTTCGACCTCTCGCAACTTTTAGCACGACTAGCCCACTGTTCCACTTCAAACATTCCGTTCAGATTCACATGGTTTATTCATTCAATTTCACTACTAAAGCCGCGGAATCCTGTTTACCAAGTCAACCCTCTTCTTATATCTGAGAGCACATCTAACCAACGCCAAGGATAGAGAGCCTCCATCAGCCTATTCCGTTTCTATCTGGCAAATTAATTCCATTGTTACTTTAGCTATAGCCGCTTAACCGATCTCCGAGATTAATTTTCCCCTTCACTCCTTCGCTTTGTAAATGGGATGGTATAGATGCCAGTGGATTGCAAGTATTAGTCAATAAACCCTTAATACCTGTTCCTCTCCACATTCACTATTCATTAGCCTACATGACTGAACCTGATTCCACAGACAATTTAGAAAGAGTCAGCCTCCGTGACTCAAATCTCTCCAGTAAACATTGCAGACAGACCCGCCATACCGACTAGTCTTATAAGCCAAATGTTCAAACTCGTTCTTGAAGGATGAAGAAGTGGAAGACGCATAAGAACATGTATACAGATAAATGACTAATTGGCAGATGGGAGTATAAATACCTATGAAAGAAGGTTCTAGGCGTGACCTTTTTCCTTTCTCCATTTAGCATCAGTATCAAATGAACGAAGGGAGAGATACGATGCAGAGAGACAAGCAAATGCATTTAAACGAGTAGCCCAGTAAGATAGCAAAAAAGGATCCACAAGAAAGCAGAAAATGGGCATAAGAAATGAAAGTTTTCATGGCCCAAAGGGAATGGAGGACCGCAAGGCAAAAACACTGTATGCCAAGTCCATTGGGGCGTCATGTGACTGGAGAGTCTCAGCATCAAGCCTTTCCCATCTGGCAAAAGAATTAACGATAACAATAAGCCTAGTCACCCTACCACAAATGATGGTAGAGACAACACCGAGACCATGACTACTACAACCACTATTACTTTATCTCAGTAGCGAAGGTTAACACCGAGGTTGTTGACAGATTGACCCCAAAGCAGTCGCTACAACATCACTTAATACGTCGCTCATCCTACCGGTAGAATTGGGACGATCATCGTGGGAAACACTTCTTGAGAGAAACAAACGTATGCCCTTAAAAAGCTGTGACAGAGCCCACAAAGCAGAGTACAATCCGCACAATATGAAAGCCATCATCCAAAAAAGCTAACGATAGCAGAAGTGACACGAGTGCTTAATGATTGCATAAAGTCACGAATGAAATGAGGAATAAGAGGGAATAAGACACAGGCAGACCTCTCAACCACAAACAGATTAGCAGGAACACCATCACTCTTATGTTGAATGAACTACTTGAGAAAACGAACTGCCTATCCTAGTGGATAGACACACGAGTCATGACGCGCAGGATGACAAACGAAGTACGGTAAGGCGGGTAGCAAAAGGTCTAAAGTGCAGTGAATCAAACACTCCAAAAAAAATTTGTATCGCCAAAAACACCATAAATAGGACAACTCCGCAGGCGATTGACGGAGGCGAGTCACTTTATCCTTGCTATAAGGAAAAAAATTTAAAAAATGGACAGACCATTGCAAAATTAGCTTCAAACACTGGTACGAGTAGATGTCAAACAAACAACACAATGGGTCAATGCTCGACTAGGTAAATCTTTAGTTGAAATTCCCAGGGCATATTGAAGATGTTAACACGCAAGTAGCTTTGAGTCACCGATCTTGAAGCTACTTCAATGCAATCAACATCATCAGATAAAAGCATAAAAGATTAAACCACGCAGAGGAGAAGTATGTCACCACGTCAACAAATACAAAACAGTACAATAGAAATGTAGACACAAATACACATATACATACACACCCTAATGACTATTCGTTCTGCTCACAACAACGACAGGAAGGCAAGAGTCACTGCGCAGTTGGAGGAAAGATTCCTCAGTGTTAATACTGTTGCGATGGGATGGAATAAACACTCTTCATTGATCGAGAGAAAAAGATGTTTGCATAATGAGTGTCAAGCGCCCGTTCATCCCGATTTTTCGTAGCAGAAATCAAGGTTTTCAGCCACTTATCCGTCCTTTCGTCAGTTGTGTCGATAAATCCGACTCAAATGAAACCTATGTTCCCCCAGAAGTAGAATGGTAACGTAGCGGACCAACTTCAACAATGGTGAAGTTGTGCGTCAATCTTATTGATTTGGCTGGTGGTTTGAAACGTAATCTTCTAGTAATGAAGGCTCTATATCGACGTCTCATAAGGGAAAATTGTTACCACGTAGGATAGTAATTATCGACATCACTATGCTGAAGTTGCAGAAGCACTCAGCTCGTCGATTGGGAGGACAACACCCTATTCAGGAGCAGAGAAGTCGTATAGTCATCAGCACTACAAGGATTATAGATCCCATCGGCACGGGTAATGATAGCACTATAGGCAATACGACAATCACTAGACAGGAGATCGCTTAAAAATATTAAATAAGAATCAGCAATTTCTCACCCCAAATGTTAAGGTATAGGACACGGCAAAACCAATCAAGAATGACAAGTCAATTGTGTTTGAACGAGCCGATACAGCATAACTCCAGTAACAGTAAAGGGAAGAATTTACAGTGCCTGCTATTATCAATGACTAGTGGCTCGGTAACCAAACAGAAGTACTGTCCTTTGAAGAAACAAACGA